AAATAAAATAAGAAAATAAAATAAGAAAATAAAATAAGAAAATAAAATAAGAAAATAAAATAAACCACATAATAATAAATGAAGAAATAAAGAAAAAAGGGCAAAAATGAAAGGAAAACTAATTTAAAAATAAAAAATTAAATAAAAAGTTTAAAAGTGAAAATACTGAAATAAAAATAGAATAGATTAGAATAAATTAAAGATTAAAAATTATTGGCATTATTTATTATCCTAACATTAAAATAATCCAATAAAATAAATAAATAATAAAACAGAAATTCAGATAAAAGGAACTGAGTGTCGCATTAAAAAAATCAATACTAAATAAAGTAAATTTAAAAATGAAAAAACGATTTAAAAAAATCAGGCAGACCCTGGGATAAAGAAGAGGGGAAGATTTGGCAGCCTCAGCTTGGGGGGGGAGCTCCCGTAAATCCCTGTGCCAAATCCTGTGGGATCTGGGAGTTCCCCATGGGGATTTGGGGGGGCTCCATCACCCCTGGCTGTTGCCAGCAGGGTCTGAGCTGCCCATGCAGCGGGGACACCCAGCAGAGGGGACTCCCCGGAGGACACCAGCGATCCCAAAACTGTGCCAGGGCAGGGAACCGGATCCCCTGAGGCGCTGGGCAGGGGAAGGGGCCGGGGCCAGACACGGCCAAGGTCGCGCTCGGGTTTCCCTTCCCGCTGTCCCAGCCCAGCGCCACGTCCCAAAGCCACCGGTCCGGAAAGCTCCGCTCCAGGCGCGGTGGCACAGCGGCTTTCCGGCTCTCCCAAAATCCAGAGCTCCCAAAATCCAGAGCTCCCAAAATCCAGAGCCAGCCCGTGCTGGGTCAAGCTCCGGCGGGGAATTGTGCCAAGGGATTTAAAAATCAGGCCCTGACACACAGGATTTAAAAAAAAAAAAAAAAAAAAAAAAAAAAAAAGAAGTCATGTTTCTTTCCTTGTTTATCCTCTTTTTCCATGACGGCTGCAGGGATTTTTGCTGGTTTTCCGGCTGCCGAGCGCTCTTCAGCAGCTTTCCCCTGCCTTGGTGGTGGATGGGGGCACCGAGGTGCTGTCCCCACATGTGGGGATGCTGTCCCCACATCCCGCCCCATAAGGATCAGAGCCATGAGGAGAACACCGGGATTTTCTGGGAAGGAAATCCCGACCCAAGGGCTGCCCCCCGCACCTCAGCCAGGTGGGATGGAGCCGGGGCTGGGGACACAGCACTGGGGCAGCCCCTGCTCCTTTGGGGACGGATGTACCGGGTCCTGCTGCTCGTCCGGGGGTCCCTGCCAGGGTCCCTCTGTGGTGGGGACAGCCCTGCCCCGTGGCAGCACAGGGGGAGCCCCCAAAGTGGGAGCACTGCGTGGGGTACCCAAAACACTGCTGGGGGAATCCCACGGCACGGGGGGAAACCTCAACCCCATCCCGCGGGGTGTCCCTAAATCGAGGAGCGGGGGGAATCTCAGCACTCCTGAGGGAGCCCCCAAAGCGCTAAGAACTGCTGGGGGCACTCAAAAATGTCCTGAAGGGAGCCCCCAGAGCAAGGGGGATCCCAAAGCCACGCTGGAGGAACTCCCAAATCGAGGCAGCAGCAAAGCCATCGTGGAGAAAACCCCAGAGCAAGGGGGATTCCAAAGGCACCCTATGGGGAACCACCAAAGTAGATGCACTGCTGGGGGGGACTCCAAATCTACGCTGAAGGGCACCCCCAAAGTAAACACACTGCTGAGGGCGGGACCTAAAGCCACCCTGGGGGGAATCCTCAATGCAGGGCGACTCCAAAGCCATCCTGGAGGGAACACCCCAAGGGGTGATACCCCAACAGGGGATCCTAAAACCACCGGGGGGGGAGCCCCTAAATCACATGCATAGCTGGGGGGCTTCCAAGTCATTCTGAGCAAGTCCTCAAAGCAGGGAGGAGGCTCTAAGGCCACCTGAGAGGGGTGTCCTCATCAGGGACCTGTTGGGGAGACCCCCCGCAGCACCCCTAGGAAAGCGGCGAGTCCCTTCGAGATGCCCCCGCCCCGAAGCTCTCCCGGCCCCCGCGGGGGCACTCACATGTCCTTGGCGGGCAGGTTCCTGCCCTCCACGATGCGGATGGAGAGGGCGCTGCGCCGGGCCATGGCGGGCGGGCAGCGGAGCGGAGCGGAGCGGAGCCGAGCCGAGCCGAGCCAAACGGCGCCGAGCGCGGCCTCGAACCCGCGGCCCCGAGCACAGCGCCCATGTGCGGGCCGGCGCCGGCAGCCGCCAATCAGCGTGCGGGGGTGGGAAAAGAGGCGTGGCCTAGGGCATATCCGCTGCTCCCATTGGGTGATGCTATAGGCTGTCGGCCAGGGGGGTGTGGCCTGTGCTCAGTGGGCGGGGCCGGCTCCCCGCGCTGTCGGGGTCCCGCGGGGCCCCCGCTGTGTCCCCTCTGTCCCCCCGCTGTGTCCCCTCTGTCCCCTCGGTCCCCCCTCAGCCCTCGGCACCGCCCGCGGCTCCAGCGCGGTGCAGCCCCAACCTGCCCTGCCCGGCGTCCGCCTGGATCGGACCAAACCCACACCAGACCCCTCCGAGCCCCCCCGGAACCTGGAGGGGTGCAGTATCGGCAGCGTTGTTCTGCACCCCAAGCCTCCACCGGTTTCTTGATTTTTAACCGGTTTTGTTTGTTTGTTTTTAAAGTATTGCACCTCCCGGCTGCAGCACGCCCGGGATGGGGTTGGGGTTTCTCCCCGTGCCGTGGGATGACCGCAGCAGTGTTTTGGGTACCCCAAGCAGTGCTCCCACTTTGGGGGCTCCCCCTGTGCTGCCACGGGGCAGGGCTGTCCCCACCACAGAGGGACCCTGGCAGGGACCCCCGGACGAGCAGCAGGACAGGTGGCATTTCTGGGTGCTTTTGGTGCCCTAAATCCCAGTGGAGGAGAGTGAACCACCCCCTCCCCCCATGGTGAGACCCACCTGGGCTCGAGGGCTCGGCAGGCACCCAAAGCTGAGGCTCAGGGCTGTGCTGGCCATGGCATTTTCGCCGAGGGAACACTATGGGGACTATGCAGGGACACGCTGGGAACACACTGCTCTGTTCCTACAGCGCTGCCCCTCTGCCTCCCCCGCACGGGGGGACAGCAAGGGGACAAGGTGCAGTCCCCGCCACCATCCCACAGGCTTCCCCTGTGCCAGCTCAGCCCCACAGGCGATCGGGGCCACATGTCCCACCTCCAGCAGCGCACACGCGTGGCAGGTGACAACCCCCCCCAGCCCTCGAAGCCCTTTGCAGCTGAAGCAGTTGTTTTATTTCGGGGCACGGGGTGTAGGGCGGAGAGGACCCGCGTTTGCCGGATGGAACCATCCGTCCGCTGCTCCCCCGCTGATCTCGGCAGGAGTTAATCGCTGGATTTGCTTGATTTCCCTTGGCCAGGCTCCACGGAGGTGGCTCCGGCAGCGGGGAGGGGGGGCAGGTTTCTAACACCGCTCCCATGAGGCACAAGGACACCCCGTAAGGGCGCTGTGACCGGCCTGGGGCGTCAATGTGATGCTGCCCTTGGCGTGGCGCCTGCGGGGTAAAATTGGGCTTTTATTAATATTTGTATATGATGCATATAGGTACACGCACACCTGCCCTGACTCCACCCACGACGGGGTTGTTTCCAGCACCAGCGAGGTCTCATCCTGCCCGGGCTGCAGGATCAGGGCACCCACAGCCCTGAGATCAGAATCAGAGACCCACGCCCCGTTGTAGAATCAGGAATGATGGACGCGGTCCCTTCAAGCCGCTGGTACAGGATCAGCTTTCCCTCTGACCCCCTCCAGCCCACTCCTCAGCAGTGCAGGATCAGCCCCCACAGTCCCCCAGATGGGGCTCAGGGACACTCTTGGGTGTAGGATCAGACACCCCGGGGTGCCGGTCCCCTCTTGGGGTCTCATGGCTCTCAGAGGAGCCCGAGGTGCACCCAGGATGGATTGGGTCATCTCGGGGTGTGGGAGCCCCTCCTCTGGGCTTGGTCAGGGAGAGAGCATTGTAGGGTAAAAAGGGTTGGAGAAACATCCCCCACACCCACCACTCCCACCTCACGGAGCATTTCAGTGCTCCTCACCCCAGCATCAGGGCTGGGGGGGGTCAGGCTTCCCTCGCTGCCCTGCACCCAGGGGACTTTTCCCCATCCGAAGTGGGCACAGGTGGTATCGGTGCCCCAACTGGGTGCGACAACATCTCCCACCCACTCCAGAGCATCCCCGGCCTCACTCTGCCCCGTGCAGTCTCCCACCCAGCGACAGGGCTCGAGTGGGGGTACAGGGGACCACGGGGCTTCCCAGGAGGCATCGAGGAGTCACAAACAGGAGGCATAGGCAGGGCACAAAGCACGCGAAAAAGCCTTTAATGTCGCGCTCCATAGCCCCATGGGTCCCCAAGGGTGGCGACTCCGGCCGTGTTCCCCCGTGCCACCCACCGGGACGGAACGGAGCGGGTCACTCTGAGCCTCGCACGGGGGAGGGGAGGCGATGCCGGGGGGCGGCGGGGGCTCAGAGCCGGGCGGCCGGCTGGTCATAGACGTGGTGGGTATTGTACCGCCGCACCGTCACCGACTCCGGCCTGCTGAAGGTGCTGCTGCCGCTGCAGGAGTCCGAGCTGGGGAGGGAAGGCGGGGTGAGGGATGAGGGATGAGGGTGAGGACCGTCACCCTCTGACGCCGGTCCCGCGTGCTCAGCGTTCTGGGTGGGACTTGGCCGTGGTACTCACCTCCAGAAGACGAGCATGGCCACCAGTCCGGCCAGGAGGATGGCGAAGAGGATGGAGAGGATGGTGGTGATGGCGATCATGCCGGCGCTGTGCCCGTTGCGCGTCGTGGAGATGGTGTTGGGTGACTTGGCTGGAGAGAGAGCAGGAGGAGAGAGAGCAGGATGGAAGGATACACACCCCGGAGTGGTTCCGGGGGTCCGGATGAGTGACGGAGTGCTCGTGTGTGCCAACCGTGCCATCACACGGTGCCACCGTACACGAGTGAGACCCGCGGCAGAGCCCTACCTCAGTTTCCCCAGCTGCTCACAGGAGCTCTCACCCCAAACCACTGTTGCTCAGCATTCAGCCCCCTGGGACCACCCCACACGCCCAGGACCACCCCACATCCCCCCTCGAGGGCTGTGGGCTGGGTGCGGGGGCAGGACGAGCAGCGGTACCTTCCTTCAGCGTGATTGGCAGCGACCACTTTGTCTCAGCCACGGGCACAGAGCCCTCCAGGGCGAGGAACTTCACCCTAGGATGGGAAGGGAGGTTGTTGGCCACGGTCCCGTGAGCGGGGACTACTGGCAGCCCTTGAGGGGCCGGTCCCAGGAGCAGGCTCACCGGTAGGGCCCGGGGCCGGGCAGGGGGCCATTGCAGGTGGGTCTCGTCACATCCTGAGCACAGCTCGTCTCGCTGCCGACGCGCAGCACCGTGATGTCCCCGGCGGGCTTGGAGCAGGGGTAGTTGGCCAGGGTGGTGTTGAGGGTCATGTAGGCTTGGACGGGGTCAGTGAAGTTCTGGAATGCGGTCTCGGGAGTCCCCGGCCTCGCGCTGTTGTTGAAGTTGGATACGGCTGCAGGGAGGGGATGGGGGTGAGGAGGGACTTGGTGGGGGGGTAAAGGGACCCCTGCACGCCCCCTGCCCTGGGCTGCTCCCACTTACCACTGGCCAGGGCCACCACCAGCCAGATGTCGGCGTTGCCGTAGTCATCGAAGACGCAGCGGGGCTGGTCCAGCACGAAGGTGGAGGCGGTCGTCTGCCCCCCCAGCGAGGGCTCCTGGGTCAGGGCCGGCTTGTACCCCAGCTGGACTGCAGTGAGAAGCCAAGGGGATGGGGTGAAGGGTATGGATCCTCCTCTGCAGCCCCGGAACGGAGGCTCTGACCGGCGGCCGCGGTGCCGGGGCTCGGGGTGGGGGCAGGAGGCAGCTGAATCCTGGGATCTCGGCAGTGGAGCCTCTGCTCCCCTCCCACCCCCAGTCTGGGCTCAGATAGGGGCTTCTTTAAAAGAGGAAGCAAAGACACTCTATGCTCCCAGCTGGGGGGGAACACACGTGCAGGACTCCCAGAGGACCAGGGTGGGTGACACCAGGGACACTTGGGGTGGCACCCAGAATGAGGGGGGCATCACCTGCCCTACGCCTCCAGGTTCAGGGGGATCCTGGTGGACTCTAACTGAGACATCCAGAGAAACCCACACTGTGCCGGTCATCCACTATCAGTGACACCAGAGACTATAAATGACCCCCAGAATAGGATCCACAGCAGCCCTACACCTCCAGGCTCAGCGGGGTCCTGGTGCCTGTGCACAGGGGATCCCCACAGTGCCAAGGAGAATCCCGAGTGATCCCGATGGCGTCGCTGGACTCACCTATGCCGTGGGCGGCGGGCAGGAGCAGGAGGAGCAGCGGGAGCATGATGCGGGCGCTTGGGTGCCGAGGGCGGGAGTGCGGGTTCTGGGGCTCCGCGTCCCCGTGGGACCCGCCTGTGGTCACCAACCGCCCACATTCCTGCAGCGGCCGCAGCCCCGTGGCAAACAGGTTGGGCTCGTTTCCTCGGGAGCATTTGTTATGTTTGAGCGCCCGCCGGCGAGGCGTGCTGAGAACCGCTGCGTTTGTGGCGTGGGTGGGTGACAGATTCACGCGGGCAGCGGGCAGAAGGGGATATCTCGTGGTGATGCACCCCACCAGTGGCAGCAAGTGCCCCCCACACCGACACCAAGTGCCACCAAGCCAGGGCCCCACGTGGTTTTTGAGGTCTCCCATTTTCACAGTCCCATTCTGCGTGGCCAAAGACCAGGAGGAGACAGTGGCAGATGTAAAATTAGATTTTACTTGACAGAACAGTTAATGTCTAGTGGAAGGTGTCCCTACCCGTGGCAGGGGGGTTGAAACGAGGTGGTGTTTATGGTCCCATCCAACCCAAACTGTTCCATGATTCTCTGACACGGAGCAGGGGTTTGGGGGGCAGAGCCGCACAGCCGCGGGGGGCTACACCCGCAGCCAGGGGGCAGGGGCTGGGGCAGGGCTGGGGGGATGTGGTGGGTCCTGTAGGATCTGCGGATGAAGGCGTCAGTCCCCAAATCCTGGTGGCACAGGGAACCCCACACCTTGGCACTGCAGGGAGACAAAAGAAGAGGCATCAAGTGGGGCTCTGCACCAGCCACCCCCAAGGGACCCTTTCTCCTGCAAACTACGGCAAACCCCTAATTTAAGAATAAAAAAGCTATTTCGATGTTAAAAAGACTTCCATTTCTTTGCTGATGAGGTTGTGGAGTTGGGGTGCTCTCCTGAGGCCCCTGCCGACACTGCCCCCCCAGCAGCCCCCCGTACCCCAGGGCTCCGAGCACGGCGGTGGCCAGCACGGCCCCCAGGCTGGCCAGGATGGAGGCGATGACCACCACAGCACTGCTACAGCGAACGGGCGCAGGGTCGATGGTGCTCGGGCTGACGGCTGGAAGGAGGAGGGGTGAGGGATATGGAGGAACACGGAGAGCTCAGGGGCGGTGTGATGGATGGGGGGATCGGGGATCACTTCTCCCGCAGGTTTTGGGGTGATGGCACAGGGCTGATGCTGTGCCACGTGCCAGCACCCCAACCAGGCAGGTGCAGGGGACCCGCGGGGGGGTGGCAGTGCCACAAGTACCTCTGCGCAGGAGGATGGGCTCGGACCATCGCGTCTCCGCTTTGGGGCCGCGGCAGCCCATCAGCAGGAACTTCACCCTGCCATGGGTACGGGGCTGATACCGGGGCACGAACAAGACCTGGGTGGCGAGTCACCCCAGCTGGGATTTGGGGCTTCTGGCTTTACCTGTAGGGCCCGGGGGAGGGCAGGGGTCCATTGCAGGGGTCCTGTCTGCCCTGGTCTCTGCACGCCGTGTCACCCCCGACCCGCAGGACGGACGGGCTCGGTGCCGAGCAGGAATATTCGGCCGCCGCCGTCTCCAGCGTCATGTAGGAGCGGGCAGTGGGCAGCTGCTTGTACGGGGGCACGTCAGCCCGGGACAGGGGGTTTCTGAAGGCGGCTGATGCTGCACCGCACAGATGGAGGGTGAGGATTGCGGCGAGGGTCCCCCATATCCCCTGCCACAGTGGGGGCGCGCTGGGGCAGCGAGTGCTCACCGTTGGCAAAGGCCACCGCCAGCCAAACGGTGTCGGAGGCATCGGCGAGGCCGTCGAAGACGCAGTGGGGCCTCTCCAGCGCGAAGGTGCTGGCAGTGACCTTGCCCAGCAGTGCCATGGGGGATACCTGGGGCACGTAGGGCAGCCGGGCTGGGGGAGTGGGCAGTGAGAGAGGGGACCCCCCGTTCTGCACTGCTCAGCCTGACCCCAGCCCGCACCCACACCAGTGCTGGCACAAGGGCTTGTCACTAGGTGCCAGCATGAGGGGGACAGCACTGGTGTGGGGTCCCCCCAGCCGTGCCCAGCCCCATAAACCCCTCCCATAAACGCCTGGCAGCCCCTCCAGGCCCCGGTTCCCCTACGCCCTGTGCCCCAGGGAGTCACCCAGGTCCGCGGCTGCTCCCATCCCCGCCAGCGCCAGCAGCACCCACGGCAGCTCCATGGCGTCGTCCTGGTGGTGCTGGATGTGCTGTCCTACTCAGCTCACCCCGTCCCACTGCCGAGGGGACGAACTGCCCTCAGTGCCCCCGCAGCAGGGACCGCCTGTCCTGGAGCCGGACCCTCCCAGCCCCGCATTCCTGCACCGGCTCTGCCGGCCCGGCCAGACCCCGCGGGCAGAGGGGACAGCTGAGCATCCCGAGTCACCCGCTGGTCCCAAACCCGCTGGGAAGAGTCCTGCAGGACCCCCGGGGCACCTGCCAGGAGTTAGGGCACAAGAGTCATGTGAAAGGGGAAACTGAGGCAGAGGAGGCTCTGGGGCGATGTTCCAGGATGGGTTGGCAGGACTCACAGACTTTAATGGCGCTATGGGGGCAGCCAGGCAAGTCGTCTTGGACCCCCACTCGCCCCACCAAGACCCAACTCCCTGCTTTGTGCCCAGCAGGCCCTCGGAGCCAGGGGTGAGCCCGTGCCCGACTGGTTCGGGCGCAGCCAGCCCTGCCCCGCGGGCAGGGAAGCGCTGAGGAGCATCACACCCGAAATAACCCAAATCTCAGCGTTCAGGTGAAGGGTCCCACCCAGCATAAGGAGTGCCGAAGTATTTTCAGCTCTGGGGCCACCCCACGCTGATATTTCCCCATCTCTCGTACCCCTTCCAAGCCCTTGGGATGGGACATGGCCCTGGAGAGGGAGTGCCCCGTGGCTCGGGAGCCCCTCACCGCCGCTCCCCCCGCAGAGGGGTTGGAGCGCTGCCTCTCCCGTGTTTGCCAAGGGGAGCGGCTGCCCACCCCTGCGTGGGAGGAGATTTCCCCCCCCTTCCCAAGGGGCCGGGACCGCGCCTTCAGATTAAGTGGAAATGGGGCATTCAAAGATTACACCGTCCAGCTGCAGAGGGGAAAAACAGGCGCAGCTGCAGCCTTTGTCCCTCCTCCTTCTTATCCTCGCCTTGTCCCCCACACCTATCCAGCAACACTTGTTCTGGGGACCCCCACAGTTCCCCCAGACCGCTCCCTAGCCAGCAAGGTGCCAGCAGGAAGGTGAGGGGCAGGGTGGGTGACGCACGGGGGTGACGCAGGGGGACAGTGAGTCACAGTTTCAGCTGCGGGTACCCAGCATAGCTGCAGGGTCAAGGCTGGGCTAATAATAACCACCCTGTGGCAGATGAGCCATCACCACAGGGGCTGGGAGAGACACCCCCTCTCCTCTGCCTGGGGTTCCAGCTGGGGATGGCAGACACAAGGCTTTTGGTCAAATGTGCGTGGGAGCATCATAAGCATTTATTTGGGGCTCTGTCCCTTCCTGGCTCCTAGAGACACCATGGTTATGCTTTCACCCCACTTTTCAAAGCATCTCCCTATGCCACTGTGCCGGAGCACCTGGCTCTGCTCCTTCCCACCCCTTGGATCCTCCTGCGACGGGGGCTAGGTCACCTTGGGACCCACACAAAGACGGCAAGGATTTTAGGACATGCCTCCTGTCCAAACCATCCCTCACTAGGGATGAGCTGCTGAGCTTGGCTGGCTCACCACAGCCCAATGTCCCTACCCTGGACCAGCCCAGATGCAGGGAGGCTCCAGCTGATTCACGCCCAGCAGCAGCTGCGGGAGATGCCTTAGGCCAGGCGCAGCAGGAAATTCTTGCTCTGTACAGGGCTGAGTGAACGCTGCTTCAATTTTCGCTTCCATTCACTGCTTTGATTGCTGGAATAACATGATCCAGGGATACAAAGCTGACGTTTGAACTCAAGACCTCCCCCTTTTGCAAGCAGGGTGGGAGAGGAGCAGCCAGAGCCCATTTGTGTAGAGCTTAGCAACACAGACACGTCACTGCAGCTCCCAAGGAGCTGCCGTTCCTGCAGCATGCACGGATTTCTCTGGATAGTTAAGGGGTTTCCTCTTAGAGCCCACAGGCACAAGATACACACGGAGGACAGCTCCACCCCCGAATGGCTCAGAAAAACCTTTAATTTTTATATTGGCATGACAGGAAGCAAAGTGCCCCTCAGCTGGTCCCAGGAGGTGCTGGTTTCAGGAGGAGGGCAAGGTAGTGCTGCCACAAAGCCCCGCCCCATCCCCGATTTCCTAGGAAGGAGGTGAAATGGCAGATGGCACCCGTGCCACAGGGATGGATTGGATGGACTTAACGTGCAGCTGGGTCTAGTGGCTACAGGGAGGGGGAGAGCCAGAAACAGCTCTTCAAAAGACATCAGCTCCTATGTGACAATCAGCCTGGGGACAACGTACAGCAAGGCAACTGGGACTGGGGCAATATCCCATTTGCAAGGCTCCAGCACTCAAGAGCAGGAACAGGCTCCCAGCCAGAGCATCGCGGCTGGCACCTGCGCTGGCCAACACTGCTGCCGGGAGGAAGGTGACTGTCACCAGCTGGTGGCAACAGCATCCCTGCAGCAGCAGCACAAAGCACAGCAGCTCCTCCCTGCACAGGCTTCACTGAATTGCTGCCATTGCACCTGAGAGGAGAGAGAGGGACAAGTTCTCATCTTTGGGATGAGAGAAGTGGGGCTGGCAGCTCACAGCCAAGAGCAGGGGGCTGCAACTTTCCAGAGGGTGGACACTCATTAAGTCTCCTCTGCAGGCACCATGGCCACAGACCACAAACTCCAGTAGCCAAAGCATTGACAGGCTGGAACCACGACCCCTGGGACGAGTGTCCTGCCTCCACTGAGATGTGTCCCTCCAGCAGAGCTGAGCTTTCCCTCCTCCCTCCTGGCTGGATTGATGGTCCATGGCTCCATGGAGCAGGCTGGTTCCCCAGAGAGAGCCACCCCAAGCCCCGAGGCAGCAGGAAGGCAGAGCAGGGTCTTCTCGTGAGAATGAAGAGTTTATTGGGACCGAGCA